TGCTAAATGCGCTTAAATTATTTAAATTTTGTGCGCTGTTAAGATTTTTATTATTTTTTTGGGAAGACATAAATTACAAGCCTGACAAGGACAACAATGGTTATCAGTAAAGTTATAATTTTAATTATTTTGATAGGAAGAGAGACATTAGGAGATCGATAACGGTAACCTTGATATTTGCGTCGACTAATTTTGATATTAGCTATCGTCAGTTGTAGAGGAATTACGAGCGCCTGAGAACTTATTTGATCTATAGACCAGAACGCACTCAGGCCAATATCGACTCTAAGCGGATTATTTATAAGTCTTAACGATTTAATATATAATTACGGTATGACAAAATTTATATTTCAAATTGCATTATCAAATGGTAAGACACGATTTCTCAATTTTTGTCCTCTTTAACTTTGGCATTTTTTCTCGACTTCCCAAAATTTCGATTTTTTTCACTTCTTCAATTTTTCTGATTGTTTGATTTTTTAATTTTTCGACTTTGCTTTTTGACTTTTCGACTTTTTAGTGTTTCAGTTTCTCAATTTTCGAATTTTTGAATTTCTCGATTTTTTGTGTATGTTTCAGTTTTGGGATTTTTCAGTATTTTCAGTTCGTCTATATTTCAATTTTTCAATTTTTAACTTTTCGTCTCAGCTTTCCACTCCTTGGTTTCTCGCATCCTGTGGTTTTTCGATTTCTCGATGCCTCAGTTTTCCAATTTTTTGAGGTTTCGAGTTTTCAGTTACTTATCCAACTTTTTTCAATTCTTGGATTTTCGATTTTTCGAGTTTCAAATTTTTTAATTTCTCAATTTTTGGAAATTTCTTTCAGTTTTAGGATTTTCCAATATTTTGATTCTTCAATTTTTCGATTTTTCGATTTCTGGATTTATCGATTTTCAATTTTTATTTTTAGATTTTCAGTTTTTCAATTTTCCAATTTTTTAAATTTTCGAGTTTCGATTTCTCGATTTGTTGATATTTCAGTTTTTCAATTTTCTGATATTTTATTTTTCAATGTTTTAAATTTTAGATTTTCCGATTTTTCAATTTTTCAGTTCTTCAATATTTTTTAATTTTCCGAATTTTGACGTTTCTGAATTTTCAGTTTTCCGACTTCTCAATGAATCTATTATTTGATATTCCCATTTCTCGACTTCCCAAAGTTTGGATGTTTCGGTTCTACGGTTCTTCAATTTTTCGATTTTTCAGGTTTTTGATTTTTCAATTTTTCGATTTTTTTGTTTGCGATTTTTCGACTTTGCTTTTTTGAATTTTCAATTTCCTAATTTTTCAATTTTTCAATTTCCCAATTTTTCGATATTTCGTTCAATTTTGTGATTTCTTCAGTTTTCCGATTCTTCAGTTTTTCTTTTATTTTTCAATTTTTCAATATTTCACTTTTGAAATTTTTTTGTATATTGACTGTTCGATTTTTTAGTTCTGAATTTTTGGATATCTCGACCTTTTACCTTTTGGATTTTCAATTTTTCATTTTTTAAACTTAAAGTTTTCAATTTTTCGACTGTTTTGTATTTCAATTGCTCAATTTTTCAACTTTTCGATATTTAAACTTTTGAATTCTTCGATTTTTTGTTTACTGGGATTTTTAATTTTCCGATTTTTTAGTTTTTGATGTTACAGTTTTGAGACTTTTTAAGTTATCGATTCTTCAATTTTTCTTTGATTTTTCGATGTGTCAATTTTTCTATGACTCAATTTTTCGATTTTTCTTTCGGTTTATTGCTAAGGCCCGGTTTTATAAATGTCCGGTTCAACACGATTTCAACTGAACTTGAGTTCAACTGAACTGAGGTTCAATTCATGCGTCCGTTTTACAAACACCGCTATCGTCCGGTTCAGCTGAGCCACAAATTTCCTTAGGTTGGTAGCGCGCACCCGAGAATCTGACAGTTGAGACCACGTTGGGAGAACGTTGGGAGTGTGTTGTTGTTTTCATTTGTGTGCGCTGATTCGAAGTTATTCACATTATTATCAATTATTTGTGACAAATTCTGCAAAGTAATTAGTTTTCTGCGTTAGTGGGGTACGTATATTTGTATATATAACATTTGCTCCTTAATAAGTAGATGATTATGATGGTTTTTAACATTTCGTTTCAGATGAGTAATACACGTGCTCCGAATTTTACAAAATCCAAAGAAAACTTGCTCCTATCTTTAGTGAGCAAGTATAAAATTATTCTGGAGTGTAATAAATTGTCCAACACTGATGGAAATAAAAAAAAAATTCAGTGTTGGAAGAAAATTGAAGTAGAGTTCAATTCTTTATCTGGCCAGACCTTCCGGTATCACAAAGTTTTGAACAAAAAGTACGATAACATTAAGAAGAGGACAACGAAAAAATTTTCTGACGAGAAAGCCTATGTCGGTGGTAGTGGAGGAGGGTCACAACAAATTATTGAGGTGCCCAATTGTGATGTGGCTGTAAAAGAAATTCTCGGGGCCAGACTAATGGGGCATAGCAGCGAATTTGATGGCGATTCCGAAACAACCTGTAATAAGTATTTTTATGAATAATATGTATTGTAAAATTAAAATGTTGATGCTTTTCAGCATTCCAAAGTAACAGCGGCATAATCTGTCTGATGACGAAAATGATGGTAAATACTTTTTATCCTTACATACACTTTATTCAGAAATTTTTTACTATTTTTTCTTTATTTCAGATTGTTTTATGCCAGAAGATCAAACCGGTGCAATTCGAGAGAAGTGCCTGTTATGGATAAAATAAGTTGTCCCAATCAAGAAAGAGGTAAACATTAATAATAATCAAATAATTCGTTTTGACTTGTACCTATGGTTATTTTTGTAGAAAATGGTCAAACTGGGAATTGGGCTAAATGCTCCCCCAAAATGTTGAAGCAAAAAAATCTTCAGCACTCACTCCATGTCATAGAGGTATTATATGTATATATATATTTATATTAAAAAATGTTTGACACTTGTCTTAAAACTTTATTAATGTATTGTTTGTATAGGTAAAGGAAACCAGACAAGTGATAAGTTAGAGCAATGGACCGCTGCCAAAGAACTTGTCGAACTAAGTCGAAAGGAATACATCCAAAAGGAGCAAGAGTTTAAATTAAAAGCCATGAAAGAGAAACATGAACTAGATATGCAAATTATGAGAGACAAAGCTGCACTTGAATTAGAAGTAATCAAGACAGAACACCAAATGAAGATTGAAATATTAATTGCCCAAAAATTTAATATTTTAAATAATAAAACTTAAATAAATAATTACATTACATTTTATTATTTACTGCAACTAAAAACCAAATCAAAAAAGCAAATTAGTAAAATATTCTCTGATGAACTGGTTCCGTACAAAATTGTTCTAATTATAATTGCCACCATATTCTCCAATGTTTTCAATTAGAACGTCGTTCACAAAATTCACTGCTGCTTCTTCTTCTGGGGGTTCTTCTTCATTTAAAATAATTGCAATGTTGTGTAAAACTGCTGTTGCCACAACCACTGCCTCTACTTTACACATTTTTAAACGAATTCCAAAAGCCAATGCTGGAAAGCGTCTTTTCCACACACCAAAACGTTAATTATTTGAGAAGCTGTTGCTTTACTAATCCCTATAAAGTCACCAGCAACTTGCAGAAAAGATCCAGAGGCAAGGAAACGTAAAGTCACAAGTAGCATTTGCTCCGGTGACACTGCATGATTTCTTTCCGTTCGCGATGTAATTTGCTCCTATATTTGTTGCAAAATAAACCGTACGCCAGTCTTGGAAAAACGAAATCGTTTCAAAAATTCCCCAGCATTTCACTTTTCAAAGTGATTTTCTCTCAACTGAAAAACTTTTGGTCGTCGCATACGTGCCGGTTCTAATATGTTTATCACTTCTAAAACGTCTTCATCGTCAGTTAATACTCCTAATAAATTTTCCATCTTCAATTATAATGCTGTCACACCACCAAAACGATAAAGCACCGACATTTGAGGTTATGGACAGTTGAGCGAAGCTTAAACCACCCTGACATCAGCGCTCAGCTGAGCCTTCGTTTGAGCGCGGTTTAACATTGAACTATGTATTGTAAAACGGACAACTGCAGTTGAACCAAGCCTTATCTTCGAACCTCGCTTAAGCTTGCATTGTAAAACCGGGCCTAAGGCCCGGTTTTACAAATGTCCGGTTCAACACGAGTTCAACTGAACTTGAGTTCAACTGAACTGAGGTTTCAATTCATGCGTCCGTTTTACAAACACCGCTATCGTCCGGTTCAGCTGAACCACAAATTTCCTTAGGTTGGTAGCGCGCACCCGAGAATCTGACAGTTGAGACCACGTAGGGAGCACGTTGGAAGTGTGTTGTTGTTGTCATCTATGGTTGTCATTTGTGTGCGCTGATTCGAAGTTGCTCACATTATTATAAATTATTTGTGACAAATTCTGCAAAGTAATTAGTTTTCTGCGTTAGTGGGGTACGTATATTTGTATATGTAACATTTGCTCGTTAATAAGTAGATGATTATGATGGTTTTTAACATTTCGTTTCAGATGAGTAATACACGTGCTCCGAATTTTACAAAATCCGAAGAAAACTTGCTCCTATCTTTAGTGAGCAAGTATAGAAATATTCTGGAGTGTAAATTGTCCAACACTGATGCAAATAAAAAAAAAAAAATCAGTGTTGGAAGAAAATTGAAGTAGAGTTCAATTATTTATCTGGCCAGACCTTCCGGGATCACAAAGTTTTGAACAAAAAGTACGACAACATTAAGAAGAGGACAACGAAAAAATTTGCCGACGAGAAAGCCTATGTTGGTGGTACTGGGAGAGGGTCACAACAAAGTATTGAGGCCACCGATGTTGATGTGGCTGTAAAAGAAATTCTCGGGGCCAGACTAATGGGGTATAGCAGCGAATTTGATGGCGATTCCGAAACAACCTGTAATAAGTATTTTTATGAATAATATGTATTGTAAAATTAAAATGTTGATGCTTTTCAGCATTCCAAAGTAACAGCGGCATAATCTGTCTGATGACGAAAATGATGGTAAATACTTTTTATCCTTACATACACTTTATTCAGAAATTTTTTACTATTTTTTCTTTATTTCAGATTGTTTTATGCCAAAAGATCAAACCGGAGCAATTTCGAGAGAAGTGCCTGTTATGGATAAAATAAGTTGTCCCAATAAAGAAAGTGGTAAACATTAATAATAATAATCAAATAATTCGTTTTGACTTGTACCTATGGTTATTTTTGTAGAAAATGGTCAAACTGGGAATTGGGCTAAATACTCCCCCCAAAATCTTGAAGCAAAAAAAATTTTCAGCACTCACGCCATATCGTAGAGGTATTATATGTATATATATTTATATTAAAAAATGTTTGACACTTGTCTTAAAACTTTATTAATGTATTGTTTGTATAGGTAAAGAAAACCAGACAAGTGATAATTTAGAGCAATGGGCCGCTGCCAAAGAACTTGTCAAACTAAGTCAAAAGGAATACATCCAAAAGGAGCAAGAGTTTAAATTAAAAGCCATGAAAGAGAAACATGAACTAGACATGCAAATTATGAGAGACAAAGCTGCACTTGAATTAGAAGTAATAAAGCAGAACACCAAATGAAGATTGAAATATTAATTGCCCAAAAATTTAATATTTTAAATAATAAAACTTAAATAAATAATTACATTACATTTTATTATTTACTGCAACTAAAAACGAAATCAAAAAAAGCAAATGAGTAAAATATTCTCTGATGAACTGGTTCCGTACAAAATTGTTCTGATTATAATTGCCACTATATTCTCCAATGTTTTCAATTAGAACATCGCTCACAAAATTCACTGCTGCTTCTTCTTCTGCGTCCACTGGCGGTTCTTCTTCATTTAAAATAATTGCAATGTTGTGTAAAACTGCTGTTGCCACAACCACTGCCTCTACTTTACACATTTTTAAACGAATTCCAAAAGCCAATGCTGGAAAGCGTCTTTTCCACACCCCAAAACATTAATTATTTGAGAAGCTGTTGCTTTACTAACCCCTATAAAGTCACCAGCAACTTGCAGAAAAGATCCAGTGGCAAGGAAACGTGAAGTCACAAGTAGCATTTGCTCCAGTGATACTGCATGATTTCTTTCTGTTCGCGATGTAATTTGCTCCTGTATTTGTTGCAAAATAAACCGTACGCCAGTCTTGGAAAAACGAAATCGTTTCAAAAATTCCCCAGCATTTCACTTTTCAAAGTGATTTTCTCTCAACTGAAAAACTTTTGGTCGTCGCATAAGTGCCCGTTCTAATAGGTATGTTTATCATTTCTAAAACGTCTTCATCGTCAGTTAATACTCCTAATAAATTTTCCATCTTCAATTATAATGCTGTCACACCACCAAAACGATAAAGCACAGACATTTGAGGTTATGGACAGTTGAGGGAAGCTTAAACCACCCTGACATCAGCGCTCAGCTGAGCCTTCGTTTGAGCGCGGTTTAACATTGAACTATGTATTGTAAAACGGACAACTGCAGTTGAACCAAGGCTTATCTTTTAACCTCGCTTAAGCTTGCATTGTAAAACCGGGCCTAAGAATTCCAAAACTGAAATATCGAAGAAATATATATATGTATTTCAGTTTTGGGATTATTTAATATTTGGATCCATTTTTTCGACTTTGCGATTTTTCAACTCTTAGATTTTTTGATTTCTTGATTTTTCACTTTTTCGATTTCTCAATTTCTCGATCTTGTAGTTTTGAGATTTTCCAATTTATCGATTCAATTTTTTTTTAACATTTCGTGTTTTTTTTTTATTCTTCGATTTATTTATCACGTCTGGAATTCTTCAATATTTTTATTCCGCAAAGTTTCGTTTTTTCGACTTTTCAATTTTTCGATTTTTTTTTTAGTTAATTAATTTTCCGACTTTTCAATTCTTGGATTTTTTGATTTCTTGATTTTTCATTTTTTCGATTTTTTAATATACGATCTTTTAAATTTTATAAATTTTGATTTCTCGGTTGCTCGATTTTTCAATTTATATATTTTTAAATGTTTTTAAACTTCCTATTTTAGATTTTTAATTTTTTCTTTTAAATTTTCCATTTTTCGATTTCTAGATTTTTCACGTTTTCAACTTCTTCATTTTTTGATGTTTCTCAATTTCTCGATGTTGTAGTTTTGAGACTTTCCAATTTATCAGTTCAATTTTTCTACGATTTTTCGATTTATTAATCAGTTTTGGAATTGTTCAGTATTTTGAGATTTTCCGAATTGTTGGTTACTTGGATTTTTAATTTTCCGATCTTTCAGTTTTAAGATTTTTTAATTCATCGCTTCCGCAATTTTTCTTCGATTTATTTTTTTGGGAAAACATAAATTACAAGCCTGACAAGGATTGATTTTTCAATTCTTCGACGGCCCGATTTTTCGATTTAAAGCCAAGAATCCCAGAATTGAAATATCGGAGAAATATATTTCAAGTTTGAAACTCTTTTTTAAATTTACGATTCTTCAATTCTTCGATTTTTCGAGTTTTCCTTTTTTCGATTTTTCGATGTCTCAAAATTTCGATTTTGTTTTCGACTTATCTCTAAGAATCGCTAAAACTGATATATCAAATATATATTTCAGTTTTGGGATTCATTAATATTTCGATTCATTTTTCGATTTTTCGATTTTTCAATTCTTGGATTTTATTGGTTTCTTGATTTTTCACGTTTTCGATTTCTCGATTTCTCGAAGTTTTAGTTTTGCAATTTTTCAGTTTATCGATTCCTCTTCGATTTTTCGATTTATCAAATATCCGATATTTAAGTTTTGAGATTTTTCAATATTCAATTCTTCGATTTTTCGATTTTTCAATTCTTGGATTTTTGCGATTTTCTTGATTTTTCACCTTTTCGATTTCTCAATTTCTCGATGTTTTAGTTTTGGGATTTTTCAATTTATCGATTCTTCAATTCTTCTTCGATTTTTCGATTTATCAAATATTCCATATTTCACTTCTGAGATTTATCAATATTAAATTCTTCGATTTTTCGGTTTTTTGATTTTTTACTTTTCCTATTTTTCAATTTTTCAATTTTTCACGCTTCTATATTTTCTATTTTCAGATTTTTCAATTTTTATAGTTTTCCAATTTTTTAAATTTTTTCATTTTTTAATTTTTTATTTTAAATTTTCTATTTTTCGATTTCTAGATTTTTCACGTTTTCAATTTCTCCATTTTTCGATGTTTCAGTTTTGAGATTTTCTGATTTATCTGTTCAATTTTTCTTTGTTTTTTTTGCTTTCGATTTTTCGATTTATTTATCACTTTTGGAATTCTTCAATATTTTGATTCCTCAGTTTTTAAATTTTTCGATCTTTGTTTACCCGGATTTCTTAGTTTTCGAGTTTTGCAGTTTTGAGACTTTTTAATTTTTCGATTCGTGAATTTTTCATTAATTTTTCAAGTTTTGCGATGTTTCTATTTTTCGATGCCTCAATTTTTCGATTTTTCTTTCGATTTATCGCTAAGGATCCCAAAACTGAAATATTGAAGAAATATATATATTTCATTTTTCGATTTCTTTATTTCTCGATGTTTTAGTTTTGGTATTTTTCAATCTATCGATTCCTCAATTCTTCTTCAATTTTTTGATTTATTAAATTTTCCATATTTTAGTTTTGTGATTTTTCAATATTCCATTCTTCAATTTTTCGATTTTCTGACTTTTGACTTATTCTATTTTTCAATTTGTCAATTCTTCACGCTTCTAGCTTTTCTATTTTTAGATTTTTCTATTTTTTTGTTTAATCACTTTTTCAATTTTTCGACTATTCCATTTTTCGATTTTTCCACTTCTCGATTTCTTTTCAATGTTTCCATTTTTCGATTTCTTCATTTTTCAGTTTTTCAATTCTTCATTTTTTCGGATTTTAAATTGTTAATTTTTTCCATTTTTCACGTTTGATATTTTAATTTTTTCCTTTAAAATTTTCTATTTTCCGATTTTTAGATTTTTCACTTTTTCAGTTTCTCCACTTTTCGATGTTTCAATTACGAGTTTTTCCAATTTATCGGTTGGCAATTATCTATTTATACCAAAGTTCATGGTTATGTGTGTACGCTGTCAGTTGACAACAAAACCATATTTTTCTCTTTATATATAATGCACCAAATGATAATTTTTTTAAAACTGAACGCCAATTTTAGCACTCCACGAAATTGCAGACGAAAGGTCTGTTGGTGAGACTTTTATTTTATTAAGTAAAAAGAGAAACAGATGATTGACCAGTTTTAGAGGTTAATCGGTTTGCAATAATTTGTTTGTTGGATTTTCTCCTCAGGTCGAATAAAAATATAGAACAACTTTTTTCAGTTTGTCATTCAAATTAACTCGTCTGCCGGCTCGTGTGCTTTTCATTGCTATTCAAGTCTAACATCTATTACTAACGTTACTACATTTAAGAAAATATAAATAAGGAGCGCATTTTCGGCAACATAAAACTTTATTTTCTGGTAAAAGACAAACGTTAGCACCCATTTAACAAAAAAATACTTAAGTTAAACAAAAAAGTTGTACAATGGACAATTGAAAATGTGCAATTCCACCTTGTTGGACTAGAGCCCATCGAACAAGTCAACCACAGGCACTTTTTCCAACAGATTATTAAATAGTTTTTCAAAACTTCGAATAAACATCCCGGGGAACAGCCGTTGCCAAAATATCGCAATATTTAACCAGTTTTTATCCATTAGGGCATTCAATCCTTTATCTATGTCTTCGTTTCCAACAATTTTCTTAAAGTCGTAGTGGACTGATGTGGGAACAAATAACATTTTGCTCCCCGTTACCTTATAGTGTATGTCATTTCCTTGTTTGAATTCTTGTAGAGGGAACGGCATTTTAAAAGTCGTCGAATCTGCAAAAAAAAGTAACTTCAACTGCGAAAGTTAAAAAATAAAATTCTCAATATCAAATTTCGACCAATATATCGTTCTAGTAAAATTTAATTACCACCTAAATCTATGTGGTAACCAGTATTGGGGACAGATACTTTTAAAAGTATCTAGATACAGATATAGATATATGGAAGATAAAAGTATCTAGACACAGATACAAGAAAACAGATACTTTTTGAAGCTTTGGCGAATAAAATAACTGAAATAGTATATTGTTTTATAAGGAGCAAAAATGAGACTCATCTGTAATTGCCGGCCTCGCGCGCTCGGCCGTCAAACCTACAGATTCGCCACGAAAAGTCATTTTTCTCCGTATAAAACATGCTATTTTTTCTTCAAACGTGAAATTGGATCCAATTTATTGGACATAAAAATGTTGAAATCTAAGAAATTGTGACAAAAATCACTTAGAACTGATTCTTAAAGCACTAATACGATAACCAACTTGTATTCTACGGTCTAAAACATGCAGACACTTGATCATAAATCATAATCACCAAACAGGTAGGTACCTACCCCTCACTTTTTCTGCCGCTGATGACCGGCAGAAAAAATGCGAAAACAGCCTAGGCAGAAAAATTGGAGTCACTATACTCTATAACTGTGTGATTTTTTTCTTTCAGTATCGATATAGTTTTTCACTTTGATGTGAAAATAGGTCAGTGGCAAATTTACTCACCGAAAGGCCTTTTCTTCTTGTTTAATATTCCAATTCCAGCTATTTAAAACAAACTTCACCTAAATATGCCACCTTTAAAATCTGTAGAAGACAAGTTCTAGCAATCAAAATACCTTTGATTCCATCCCGTACTCCTACAAATACTATCATTTTACAATATTTTAAATGTTGTTACTTCGGTGAAATTTTACAAAGGGCACTTCACGATTTCGCACAAACTGTTTGTGCAAAACTCTTCTACATCACCCCCTGATCACGTTCCTTACCTTCAAAAGTTGTGGAAATGCTTCCTTGTGTCACAAAAAAATATTTAGTGTTCGCCCTATGGTTTGCACCCTATTAGTTGTGCCACATGTAGGCAACCAACTACACACATAAGTAGTTGAATTCGCACGAATTCCAATGACAATGATCCACGGAGCAAGAAGTGCCACGTTTAGGGGTATGTTTGTAATGGGGCGCAGGGCGCGAAACGCCTACCTTCACTAAATACCCGACATTACATGTAAGTTAGGTTATGTTGGAAACGGCTTCTCATTAAAGAGTGTGGGAAATTTAACAATTTTTTTGTGGCAAAAGCATAAAGTAAGCATTTCTACAACATTTGAAAGTGAGGAACGTGTTCAGGGGGTGCTGTAGAAGAGTTGTCTGCAAACAGTTTGTGCGAAATCGTGAAGTGCCCTTTGTAAAATTTTACCTTTTTATATTATTATAAGACTATTATAAGATTGTGCATGATGATTGGTTAATTTAGGTGACAGTTATAATTCGAATCTTCGACTCTGACCGACTGAATTGTGACAAATGACATATGATAGTTGTCTGTGATTGACATTGGCAGCACAAAACACTAGTAACAGTGAGAACATCAACATCAACACATAAGACGGCTAGGCTTAAATTTCATTGGTTGATTCAGCGGCAGCAAAAAATTTTTACGGCCCAACCAGAATTTTTTTTTCCTGTCAAGGCAGTGAAGTGGGACTTTGTATTTATCAATTGAGGTATGTAATGACCCGTATTTCTGACGTTTAAAGAAAAACATGTTTATATATTTTTTTATGTATTGTTTAATGAATTTTTAAAAATTATTTAAAACTAACATTTCGAACGTATTGTTACGTTTGACTAGCGAATAATAAATTGGGCGTAGGTAAAACTCAAAGGTTTATTTCTTTAGCTCGAATTACACTAATATCTATTGCAACGAATATGTACAGAAATTATTCCCGCGCTCTTGACTGTCTTCACTGGCTGAATAATCCATTACCTACGGTCGCCTCTATTTAAACCCATATTCTCTGATCGAGATCTTTCACGAACATCCATCCCGACTCCGCTTCGAGATTTCCCTGGACGCCGCTTCGAGACTTCCGGTAACCGGCTCCAGACCTGTCTTTATGCGCCCGCCGCTCGGCCGTCGACATCGTCAGCAGTGATGATTCACCCATCAGTGCCGTGTGTACGTCCAGAAAGCTCTCGACGGCCATAGGCGTCGTACTGGGGCGGCGTAAGGGTGTATTTCGTAACACTGCCCCCCTCTTCAAATCCGATCGTCCCGATCGGAATCGCCTTCGTTGTTTCCTTCGTACCGTTTTAGTCGATCGAGATGAACGATCTTCATCTTCGTCTTCGGTCCACGTTGGATCCGATAAACTATGTCATTTATTCTAGTGACGATAGTGTATGGACTTTCCCAGTCAGGAGCCAGTTTTTTCCGTCGGGGGTTATACAGCCACACTAAGTCATCTTCCTGGAATCCGCCACAGTTGACCTTCACATCGTAACGGGTCTTCATTCGGTCACTGGCAATTTTGATCCGGCCCCTCACTAGTTCATGCACGTTGACCAACTTCTCTTTCAGTTTGTCCACGTAGTCACGTACTTCCATTGGTTCTTCGGATGGCAATCCAAAGACTAGGTCACAGGGCAGCCACAATTCCTTCCCAAATACAACGTGAGCAGGTGTTTGACCTGTGGTGTCGTGGATAGCTGCGCGGTAGGCCAGCAGGAATAGTGGAAGGTGCTGGTCCCAATCCTTTTGGTGCTCTTCTACCACTTTCGAAAGGTGTTGCTCCATAGTCCGATTGAACCTTTCCACCATGCCGTGGGACTGTGGGTGTAGTGGCGTTGTCTTTGTCTTGCATATTTCCAGTAGTTGCATCACTCTTTCGAAGACGTTGGATTCGAAATTGCGTCCCTGGTCTGAGCGAAGTTCCAAGGGGACGCCAAATCTACTGATCCAATTGTCAACCAGTACTTTCGCGACCGTGACGGCTTTCTGATTTGGAATGTCATAGGCATCTGGCCACTTGCTGAAGTAGTCGCCAGCCACCAGGATAAACTTATTGCCGTCGTTTGTTACAGGGAACGGACCGGCCACATCGATGGCGATTCTTTCGAAAGGTGCCCCAATATTATATTTCTTCATTTTTTCCCTCGCCCTGGTAGGAGGACCTTGGCTGGCCGCACACGTCGTACATTTGCGACACCAACTTTCGACGTCGTCACGATAGTCTATCCAATAAAACCTCTCCCGGATTTTCGACAAAGTCTTGTTCACTCCGAAGTGGGCTCCAGATGTTCCGGCATGAACTTCCTCTAAACCTTTACCTTGGGGAGTACCAGCATCGTCTTAGAGGTACGTCCATCAGGACTCTCCCACTTTCGCTTCAAGAGCCCATTTTCCATGACCAAGGAATTCCATTGGGCTCATAACGCCTTCAAACTGGGGGATTGGTCGGACAATTCTGCCCAGCCGGGTCGTTCGACTCCTTCCTCTTTCCACTTCAGTATTGGCCCGATTATGTCGTCTGCTTCTTGTTCACGCTTTAACCGCGCCGTTGTCCATTCTTCATCTTGCTCAAAAATCGTTCGACGAACGGGCAGGTTCCCTTCTTCGACGTCGATCCTGTCGCAGTGCTTGCACTCTCCGCACGGATGTCTTGACAAAGCGTCAGCGTTGTTGTGAAGTCAACCCGCTCGGTGTTTGATCCTAAAGTGGTACTGCTGTAGTCCTTGCAGCCAACGCGCTACTTGGCCCTCGGGATTCTTTATCCGCAGTAACCACGAGAGGGCAGCGTGGTCGGTTCTAATCAGAAACTCCTGTCCGTATAGATACTTGTGGAAGTGGTTGACGGCTTTGACAATGGCTAGCAGTTCCTTCCTTGTGGCACAGTAATTTCTCTCTGGTTTGGAATGTAATTTGCTAAAATATTCGATAACCGTTTCCTCCCCATCTTGTATCTGCGACAATACGGCCCCAACTCCCGAGTTGCTCGCATCGGTATCGAGGACGAACATTCCTTTGTCCCTGGGGTAAGCCAAAGGGCTGGTGCACACAGCCGTCTTCAGTCTCTTAAAGGCCATCCCACATGTACTGCTCCACTTGAAAGTCGCCTTCTGCTCCGTCAGTTGGTGTAACGGTGCTGCGATGTCGGCATACCCTTCTACAATTCGTCGGTAATATGTGCAGAGTCCCAAGAAGCTTCGTAGTTCATGCTTGTCTCTTGGTATGGGCCAATCCCGGATACCAAGAACTTTCGTCGGGTTGGTTTCTATTCCATTCTCCGACACGATATGGCCCAGGAATTCGAGTCTTTTCTGGAAGAGCGAGCATTTCTTGGGATTTAGTTTCAAACGAGCGTTTTCCATTCGTTCTAGCACCTCCTCGAGATTCTTCAGATGGTCGTCAAACGTTTTGCCCATAATCATGACGTCGTCGAGGTATACCAGACAGGTCTTCCATGTCAATCCTTTCAGCACCATCTCCATCAGCCGCTCGAATGTTGCTGGCGCATTACATAATCAGAGAGAGTTATAAGTAAATCAGCAACTTGTCTTGACAATATTTATGTATACAAAGATTCAAACTTTCAAGGAAAAGTTATTAATGCCCACATTTCTGATCATCTAGGTCAAATACTGCTGTATCCAAAAGAAAAAACATCTAAGGTTAGTTTTGAATATGGTCGTGAGTTCAAATATCAAAATTATCAAACTTTCTTTACTTTGTTAGAAAATGAAAACTGGGTGTGTGTATATAAAGCCCTTACAGTGGATAATCAGTATGATAATTTTATACAAACAATTTTAACTTATTACAATCAAAGTTTTCCCATTGTTAAAAAACGTAAACAAAGCGCCAATAAGCATTGCTGGATGGATGAAGAGTTGTCACATATAAAAAACACAGTCTCTTTTTTGGCAGATTGTTGTTCTATAAATGGATCATTTAAACCTGTTTACAATGAATACAAAAAGTATTACTCAAAGCTTTTA